ATTGTGAAGTACCTCATCTTGTTGGAAATCTTAGTATGAAGCTATGGAAGGGTGGACATCCATCATACTGCCGCTTTTCAGAGACGTTCACATAGCTACAGCGCCTGTATACTGGGCAGAAAGTGTGGCTCCGGCCTTCAACCTCTACTGAGACTAGACAACCCACTAACGGGCTCTATTCTGGCTGACTGGATGTCATAAAGCCTTATTCAAGAGGTAATGTGACATAACCGGCAAACTGGGTCTGACAGATTCCCACGCAGAGCACTGCCTCTCCCAATTATGTGCCATACTGCACAAGTGCCAGGGCGCCCCCAGCTTCACGTACACGACATCTGTGTCTCCTAATCACTGTCAGTAGGCAGCAGCTGTGTTAGTGTCATTGCCCGACTCCTGGCGAGATCAATAAGCCCAGTATCAAAACTTGCAGGATGGGAAATACAAAATTAGGAGTGGTGGCTTATGCCTGTGATCCCAGCTACTTGGGAGGCTGAGGCAGGAGAATCACTTGAACACAGGAGGTGGAGGTTGCAGTGAGCCGAGATTGTGCCACTGCACTCAAGCCTGGGAAACAAGAGCAAAACTCCATCTGAAAAAAAAAGAAAGAAAAAAAAAAAAAACCTTGCAGAATGGGCATCGGCAGCTTAGAAGGAAAATCTGGAGCCTGCACTGGAATCTGCTTTCCAGGAATGCTGTATCATCAACACCCACCATGAGACAGGGCACCACACCGTTACAGACAGGGAGGGCAGAGCCGGCTACAGGGCACCCCCTAAAGCTGTGGCTCCACCCGGATGCCTCCTCTTTCCCAGAGATGCCAGCTTCCACCTTGGCTCTCAGAGACACGCTCTAGTGGCATCTCTGGGGCAGCTGCAGAGAGAGGCGGAGTCAGCACGTGCGGTGGCACAGGAGGAAGGCTCCTGCTGCAAAGGCTGTGCCGGCCCCGCCACTCGTCATTTCCAAGCCTTCCAAACCTGCTCCTCTCCCGAGGCACAGGACACAGCATGGGAGTCAAGGCCAGCGAGGCCTCACGTTTGGAAAGGCACACAGCAGGAGAAGAGCGGGCTCATGCCCAAGATTGGCTTTGCCATGAATTAGCAGTGTGAGCTCAGGCAAGTCAAACCCAGGCCCACAGTCCCTTCTGCCACCTGCGGTCAGAGCAGCGTGTTCTGCCCTCAGGTCACTTCTGTATAGTTCTCGCAGGCCTCCCTGTGACTCAAGTTCCCAGCTTTGGCTTCTGGCTCTCTTCTGCGTTGGTGGGGGGTCATTTCTGGCTACTCTGGGCTGAAGGAAGTAGAGTGCTAGCTACTACTATTTTGTTTTTTTTGTTTTTTTTTTTTGAGACAAATTCTAGGTCTGTAGCCGCTGGAGTGCAGTGGTGTGATCTCGGCTCACTGCAACCTCCTACTCCCAGGTTCAAGCAATTCTCCTGCTTCAGCCTCCCGAGTAGCTAGGACTACAGGCACACGCCACCACGCCTGGCTAGTTTTTATATTTTTAGTAGAGATGGGTTTTCACCATGTTGGCCAGGATGGTCTCAATCTCCTGACCTCATGATCCACCTGCCTCGGCCTCCCAAAGTGCTGGGACTACAGGCGCACACCACCATGCCTGGCTAGTTTTCTATTTTTAGGAGAGAGAGGGTTTCACCATGTTGGCCAGGATGACCTCAGTCTCCTGACCTCAAGATCCGCCCACCTTGGCCTCCCAAAGTGCTGGGATTGCAGGCGTGGGCCACCACGCCTGGCCACTACTCTTCTAAGATGACATTTGGGAACAAGGGATAGGACTGAGTGGCTGTAATGCAAACACCTGGAGCTGTCCACCACCTGGGCGATGAGCCCCACTGGCAGGGAGGAACAGCATGGACGCAGCTCAGGGAGGCTCATTCCCAAGGTGTCAACAGGATGAGTGAAACCAAGTACCTGGTGGCCCCAGGAAGAAACCCCACCCAGAGGTACTCTTTAGCTAGACAGGCAAACAGCACATAGCGACACTCATGCCAGGTAGCAGATGCTCTCTCTGACCATGTCCAAAGTAGCAGCTTACACTATACAGTCCAAACAGAAAGTGGGAGATGAGGTCCAGGCAGGCAGTTTCCTTCCAGGATCATTTACCAAGAGTTGCCACAGAAAACGTCACTAAGGCTGGGTGCAGTGGCTCACGCCTATAATCCCGGAAATTTGGGAGGCTGAGGTGGGTGGATTACCTGAGATCAAGAGTTTGAGACCATCCTGACCAACATAGTGAAACCCTGTCTCTACTAAAAACACACAAAAAAAAAAAAATTTAGCCAGGCATGGCTGTGGGCACCTGTAATCCCAGCTACTTGGGAGGCTGAGTCAGGAGAATCACTGGAACCTGAGAGGCAGAGGTTGCGGTGAGCTGAGATTGCACCACTGCACTCCAGCCTGGGCAACAGGGCAAGATTCTGTCTCAAAAAGAAAGAAAAAAGAAAAACGTCACTGAAGTTGGTATATAAGCCCCCACTGCTAAATTAGACTAAGAAAATTTTTTAATTTTTAAAGTGGAAGTCTCCTCCTGAAGGGTCCAGAAATAAGCCCAATGGTACACTGCTAGCATTCCAGGGACATGGCCCAGGCTCTTCTGGACCCAGAGCAGTGGTGACATGCAGTGGATGACTCGTGGGCCCCCATAGCCAGGGTCCTTCCTCCAGCCATCAACTGAGTAACCAGCAATTGGCAAAGCAGTCTGGATAAGATGATCCCAGGGTGCTTAAATGCAAAGGAAGTGAGAAATCATTTGGAGAGCCAGGGACCAAGATTCAGGGCTCCAAACATCATCTGTGCTTTAACCAGTGTTAAAGCCCTGCTTGCTGTGTTTTAGTTGGGGTTTCTACATAAATAGAGATTGGCTTATGTTGAAACCTCTCATTTAATCCAGTCCTTCCAATGAGGGTTGGGAAAGAAGCTAGAAGTTGCTGCACATCAACAGGAGGCTTAGGACTATCCTCTCAGCCACTGCCAGCCCGGCCGAGCACAGCACACACCCCACTGCCAGTGTCCCTGGAGAAGCAGCTCAGGACAAAATCTCCAAGAACAGCAGATATTCCTGTCCATAGATTAGTAGAGAAATGTTTGACAATGGATCCTACTTAATAGTTCGTATTCACTCAGGGTTTTGATTCACTTAGTTTTCATTTACTTACAGTTTTAAAACTGTAAGATATACTGTTTACGTTGTTATAAGCAAACTGTCAGAATCTGATGCATTCACACAGACTCCCAGTTTACGCGTTCTTCAATGCGTTTGTTACCTTGTGTCTTGCTACCAAATATCTGGCACCTTCTCTCACTCACTAGCATTAACCTGAGGGGTGAGGAGATGCCCCAGATCGAAGCAACTTCTAATCCCAGAATGACAACATCTGTCATGAAGGGCAGCACAGCTGCAGGACCAGCTCCCGGGTCCGCCCCAGTTACTCCGGCACTTCATGACCTTCCACCCTCAACATCCTCTCCTGGTCCTTCCTTCCAGATTTTCACATGGGGCCCAAGCCATTCTCAAACTGCTCCTGGAAACACAGCCAAGCCCAGAAGCCAGTGCCAAGAAACAGCATGAGGACGCCTGCTCCGCGCAGGAGACCCCTCCAGAGACCACCTCACCTCTATCCCACTCCCGGCTGCTGCCCACTGCGCATCCCATGCAGAGCAGCAGTGACGCTGGAACCTGGCTTCATGGGCCCCAGCGCTCCTCTCATGGGATGGCAGAGACTGAAGAAAGCAACGGCAATCCTTTTTTTCTGTGAAATTTATTGTTTCCACATTAAAAGACTGTTTTTGAGGGGAAGTATTTTTTGTAACCACATGATGATCCTATACAGCTGCCCGGAGTAGGACACCATCAGAGTCATTAACATGCCATGTGAGTTCTGAATAAATAAAAGCTACAAAGCCCAAGTTATATACAAATATCTTAGGCAATAATGTTTACAAACCTATGTACAATAAAACAAATGTAAACAGTAAATGCAGCATGAGAGTAATCAAAGGATGCACAGGGACAACCACCACTATCAGTCCACCCCCAGAGCCGGCGCCAGCCTGCCCTGGAGCCACTCACCCTTCCTAACACAACAGGACGGGCCTTGGAAGAGAAAACAAAAAACGCTCTGAAGATGAAGACGTCGTCGAACTGAAGAACCGGAAGGCTGGCGAGAGGCTGCCCCGCTCCCTTACCCCGAGTCTGAGGCTCAGGGAGGAGGAGACAGCACAGAGGCTCGGCCTGTGTGTGCCCCGCCCCAGAGGCCCTGCCACGTGGGGCTCAGACAGGCGTTGTGCTGCTCTGGGAGGTAAGTCCATGGAATGGTAGCTGTTGAAGTAAAATCAGAAGGTGCAGAAAACGTTCCCTAATTCAGTAGCCTTCCTGACTCTTTGCCAGAAACAGGCCCAAACTGTGAGGGGCAGAGTGGGGGACACATGATCATGAGCACTGGAGATGCCTGGGTGGGAGCTTCGGAGGGCACACACTGACCTGATTTGGGGAGAACTTCTAGAAGATTTGCAATGTCCTAAACACAACTAAATCCTATCAGTACAGCAGAGTGGGGACTATGAGGCAGGTGTGATGAATGGGTACTTCTGCATCCAGTGACCAAGTAATACACGTATGTACCACCTTGTGACCCACAAAAGTGCAATCATGTGAAACCAACGGCACTACGGCGAGAAGAGGAAATAGCCAGTATTGATATCGCGCAGAGTCCCGGGGCTGGGCAGGCCCAGCAGCCGCCACTGCATGCAGCCGCCCTCTGCCAGCTGTGCGGAGGCAGACGGAGGGGCACGGGGCCGGGCCCAGGCACCGAGGGGTGAGGCATGGGTGTCCTGGGTTGCTGGAGGAGGGCAGGAGCCCCCACCTGGAGGCTGGGCACTCACACACTGAGAGGCAGCATACCCGGTGCTGACGAGGGACGCGAGGAGCCCAGACCAGGAGGAGGAGGAGCTGGGTCAAAGCCGTTTACTGCCCTGTGGGAGCAACCAGATCACAGAAAGGGAAGAAAGGGGAAAAGAAAAACCGTCATTTACAATCACTCACACACAATAGGAAATTCATTTGCTTTCTAAAACTCCTCCTCGCCCACAGTAGGGTTCTGATGGCCCAGGGGGACTGGCTGCCTGGAGAGAGCTGAGCCTCGGGAATGCAGGGGAACCAGGACCACATGGCCCTTCTTGGCAACTTCCGCACACCGGCCACTGAAGCCACAGTCCTGATTCTTTCCCCAGAGAGCAGCTCCAAATGCCTGGCAAGGGGGAGCTAGTTAAATAATGGTACAACTAAACAATAAGATATCACACAGCCATTAAAAACGCATTCCACAAGTTTTTTAATAGCATGGGAAAATATTCAGAATGTAACACTAAGTGGAAAAAGGAGGTTACCAAACTGTGTATATTCAATAATACAAAAGAAAAAAAAGCAAACAGTAAATATTCTAGATTCTAGACTATAGTCCCTTAGACATTACTATCTATGTAGCTAAATCTACAATGCAGGAAGGGACATGTGTATACATGAATGTATATATACACACATTATATATGCACACACATATATGCACACACATATATGTACATAGAATCATATATATCATAGAAAAAAATCTAAGAATCATTATTTTTCTTCCCTCTGGGTTGTGAATTTTGTTTACTTTATCCTTTTTTAATCATTTTCCAAATCTCCTACAATGTATTAACACAGGAGTATCTTAATAAGGTGGAGAAAAATAACTTCTAAAAATTATTTAGCAGGCAACGCCAGATGAGTAGGCTTTTCAATGCAGACTCGTGTGCAGGCAGCCCAGCCCAGCCCAACCCACTAGCCTGCAGCCAGGACCCAGCATCCGGAGCCCAGCGATGCAGGGAGCTCCCCAGCGCCCCCCTTTGCCCCCGTGCAGTGCAGCCACAGAAAGCAGCAAGAGAGGGAGGGAGTGTGCAGCCTGGAACCTCCCTCAGGAGCCACTTCAGCCTTTCCACCTTGAAAAGCTTCCTAGGAAAACTTGTCCCACTAGCAATTAGGGAGACACAGCCAACTACAACGAGGGGCCACACTGCACCCCATCTGCCCACTACTGCTCCCACCTACTCATCAAAGGGGTCCAGGGAGCTGAATACAGACTCATGGAGAGAGGCCCTCTTTAACAACAACAAAAAAAAGTACCGACACACACTCCCTGCAGAGACAGCTGTTTCATACATGGACAAGGTGAGGATAACCTCACAGAGAAACAGGCTTGCAGAGACTTATCAGTCCCTGCCTACTTGGAAGAAACAAAGTTGATATCTAAAGAAACTCAGAGTACACAACTGGAGTTTCAATTCCAACCACGCATACAGAGACTGAGAGCCATAGCACAGGCTCTGCCAAATGTCATTTCTCCCTGGTGTACACCGTCCTCCTTCCAGGACAAACAGCCAGATCTCCCCTTTCCTCGTTGGGTTGGGAGAGGTCTGATTTTTGACCAACACATTTGACAGTTTAAACCATGCTTTCCCATTCTCCCAAGGTCACATGCCTGTGCCTCTTCTGGGGTCAAGACCACATCCTGTTTGCCACAGTAGCCCTTCATATAATAGGTTCCATCTGTCTGGCTAGTCCCAGAGTCCCTGACACCTGCTTCTCCTAGAAACTTCAGGGATAACCAGGCAGGCCCCACAAATGACCGCAGCTTTCAGCATGTGAACCTCAGAGTCCCAGCCTCACAGACCACAGTGGCAGCCCCCAAACTTGGACTGCAGACAGCCCCCCGAACCCAGTAGAAAGGGAGCACAGTGGATGCCGGGATGAATTTGGCACCTGGGCCAGAGAGGTGTGCAAAAGCAGCAACTAGGAGATGGCTCCTCGAGGAGGCTGGGGGCTGAGATTCTGGAATTTTCAAGTGACGTGGACCTTTAAGGAACATGAGGTTCATCCCACTATTACACTGCCAAGGAAACCAAAGCAAGAGAAGGTCCAGCCATTAACCTCAGCTTGCCTAGTGAGCAGTCGATGGGGAAGTCAGGCCCAGCTGCCTCCAGATGCCCAGGCCAGCACCCTTTCCTAGTCTCCCGGTCATAGGCACCCAGCAGCCCTCAGCAAGCAACCACTTCAGCACTCCCAAGGCAGCTCGGCTCTGATGGGAAAAGCAAGTGTTACAGCCCAGGCTATAAAGAGAGAACTGGTAGATTTCTGTGTGGACAGAAATGAGTGCTTCATGTGAAGGTGGGTGGAACAGAGAGAACGACAATCCACCAGGGTCTCACCTAGCACCTCTCTTGTGAGTCAAGAAGTGGAAAGTTAAAGAACAGAGAAGAAAGCTGGCCTTATAGGTGGGATGATAGGTCTGGTGAGATCCCTTCGGGACCTGCAAAGTTGTGCCCAAGAAAAAGATTACCAAGAGAAGAGACTCGATATTCAACATACTCAGTTTCAGGGAGCAGCAGAGAGCCCCAGGGCAATGTCCCAGTGGACAACGCAGGACTAAAGGAAGAGAGAAGGGGCAGACTTGAAGATACAGATCTGGGAATCATACATGGAAAAAAAGGTTCCAGAACTATAAAATTTCATGATCTTACCACCAAAGACTAGGTAAGGAGACTGAAATCCAGAGACTCCAGCTAAGAAAAGGTGGTAAGGTCAGCTGTAAAATGGCAATGGAAGAAGTGTAAAGGGGGAAGAACCAAGGCACATTTAGAAGCTGCTCAGAAGGACAATAAATCTAAAGCAACCGACAAAAAGGATGGAGACATGAAATCTGTCAAAGTAGCAAGGATGAGAGCATTGGAGAGGGCAGGAGGGTGGGCTACAGCGATCCTGAAGAGCCCACGGGCAGGCACTGCCACATCTCGACTCTCCCTATTTCAGTGGATGTGTGTGTGCACAGAACAGCTCCAACCTGCTCCAGTCCTCAGCCCAGGCTCTGCAAACTGCAAAGCAGTTCTGAAATGTAAGGGAGATCTTACACACATCCCCATCTACCATTCCATTTTAACTGGGGACTACATGCATGAGCGCAGAGGTAAAGGAGTGCCCATACAGCAAGGCTCCGTCCTCGCTGGTGCCTGATTTGTGAAAACAGAAGCAACTGGGTCACAGGAAGAACCCCAGTCCCATGAAGACAGTCAAATGTGATCCCAGGGCCTGACAGTGACCCTATACACCAACACCAGACTCTGACTTCAACACTGCAGCTCCCTAGCCCACCTCAGGGGTGCCACCTGGTATGCTGCTCCCAGCAACCCCAGGACCACTGCAACTAATTTGTTCTTGCTTCCCACAGCTGAACTAATAATAACGGCATACAGTCAAGTCAAACAGCGCCTTGAAAGCTCACTGATGGGCTGTAAGTGGGTTAAAGCTGAGTCAGCCCCATGCAGTTAGTAAAACCAGATTGTTAATGTGTCTTCCACCACGCACCAGGATTGAGAAAGAACGAAAAGAGCACAGCAAACAAATTCAGTTACCCATGAACAACGTGGGAAATATGACTTTTTCTTGCCTAATAAAAGAAAGGAAAACATATTAAACAGTAATACAAATACTATTTCCACACCATGCCCTAAAATTAGTCCACGCCCACCTACACACAGCCCAAAAGAACTCAGACTGGCTTACAAAAATAGAGCACGTTACATAAGAAGTAACTACATAAAAGTTATGGGAAAAAAAGAATGTTTTTGAGGGAATCCAAGTGACTATGCTACACATGAAATGTGTGTCCTTTTAGATGCTGAGACAAAGGGTTACCACCGCTGAAGGAAACAGCTCAGCACTGGGGAAGCAGGCACGGCAGCCCACGTTTCAGGAACTGGCAGAAGTGATCACAGACCAGGCAAAATTCCAATTCCAAAAATCCTTCAAATGACCAGAATTTACAAAAAAATTTTGAATCCCATAAAGCAATATAGCCCAGCTAAGGTATATCGTTTTATGGGAGAAAGCTTCACTGCATCTAAAGTTGTGAGGGGGTGGGAAGGTGAACACATGTGCACCACACACATGCACACGCACACAAACCTACTCTGATTACGTCTGTTCCCCAGGCAATCCTGCCACAGGCTTCTGGCGGCACCACCAGTAAGCTCTCACCACAGTGCTACAGACTCCCCAGGAGTGAGAGGGAGGGCAGGCAGCTTCCGCAGTGGAGGGCTTTTTGAAATGGGGTGCTTTTCTCAAGCTGAAACTACTGTATAAGCCATGCTTCCCCACATCTATACAGGCAGGCTTTTATTTTTTTTTAACCTGCCAGAGTGTAGAATGGATCCAGGAATTGGGAGATCCTGCCCTTCCTTTTGCACCTGATACACAACATCTTGGTTTTTATCTAGTCAACAGGTTGGCAGGAAGAAAGACCAGAGGTAAAAAGCCAGGCAGCCTAGAAGCCAGAATCGAAGCAAATCAGCAATAAAGTGAAAACACAGCAAAACCCATGAAAGAGTTATCCTCAGGATACAGCCACTAGAAAGCTAACCCGCACCAGGTTATTTGAGTGCGCACACACAATCCACTTATCGTACCAGCTAAGCACTCGCACAGCGGCCAGCCCACAAAAGCATATTTCTTAACACAAAAGGCACAGTGTAAAACCAAAACCAAGTCTCTGTAACTGTTCCTACTGGGAAACACAGCACATTTCCAGGTTCAGTTCAAGAAAGCAAGACTACACTTGCATCTGGGATGCTCTCGAGGCACAGGGGTTGAGTCAGGGTGCCCAAGGCCCACTCCTGGTTTCTGCTCACACTGAGTCCCCACATCTTCTTGAGAGCAGGTTCACCTCTTGGCAATCCCTGCCCTGGTGCTCTGCATTGGGAGGCAAGTGGCAGGCAGGAGTAGTGACCCTGAACAGACAGTGTCATCCTTCCCTCATCGTGACTGTCCTGAGGGCTGCCACACACACAGGCACCTGTCCAACCAGTCCATTTATGGTTCATGCCTGCTCTCATGACATAAGGCACCTGAGGTCCATCAAGAAATATGATTCCAAGGAAAGATTAATAACTACTCTCAGAGACGGTCATTATAAGTTGCAGGAAAAAATAATTAGGCACTGTTTCCAACATTTATGAAGACTTCCCCAAACGTTCTCCATATCGTTTGGGGAAAATGGCTACACTCATGTGAAACCATCCAGCCATTCCATTTACCATTCCAGCATAAAAACAAGGGCTACCTCAAGTCTGCCTGAAACTCCTAAGCCTGAGGAAAATCAATTTTACATTTACTCCACCTGAGGAACCCCAATGGTTAGAATAAAGTTCTAATTACAGATCAGCGTGGTAGCAATCCCAGGACTTTGGGAGGCTGAGGCAGGAGGACCACTTGAGCCCAGAAGTTTGAGAACAGCCTAAGCAACATAGTGAAACCCCTCTCTTAAAAAGACAAAAAATAAAAAATTTAAAAAAAAATTTTTTTTAATGTAAGTTCTAATTTTATTCTTTTTAATAGTGATGATTTACAATGTGCTTTTAATACAAAGTCCTTAATGAAATGTATATAATTAGGGTAAAATTCTCTTAAGGGACAGATATCAACCAAAACACTCCACTACAAGGATAAGACCCTTTTCAGAGTGCCCTGTGTGTCAAATCCGGTCCTTTATAAATGTGCTATCATTATTGGGGATGGCAGAAAATATCAACTGCCTTAAGAAACTGTGAACATTTCTAGAGTTGTACCTGCTCTGCTTCCACAGAAAAGCAAGAATTACCTTTATGACTCAAAGCAGAGATAGTGGCAAGGGATCATGGGTGCCTGTTAGCTGTTTCAATAACAACCTTTGGCAACATGGTCAGCATCCCCAGGCCACAGGTCCTAACTAGTGACCTACATTAAGGCAACCATGTAGTATTTAAAAATAAATAAGTAAACTGAGGTAGAAAAATACACATGACATGAAAAGATAATTTCAATGTAGGTCATGATAGGCACATTGCAAAGCAATCTTTAAAGCATAATCCCATAACTGTGTTAAAACAACTTATGCATAAAAGATGCATAAAAATATGATTTGACATGCCTTGGCATAACTAAGGAATGCAGAAACAGTGTAAAAGCAGGAAACATTGACTTTTTAGTTCATGTACTTCTATAGCAACCCAAATTTTTTGCATGAAGGATTATCACTGCTTCAATCTTAGGATAATTTTACTTCAATCTTCCAAAAAGCCTTAACTTTATACAAAAGTTGTATGTTCTAAACTGTATTTGATCCAGTGCCTAAATACTTCAAGGCCTTATATTTCTCTAAAATTCTCACAGAGGAGGTCTGTTGTAGAGTTTGCATATATTTAACTGTGATGCTCTCTTGTACCCCTAAAGAATATTTGCAAGCTGGCCAGCCTGTAAGCGCCTGGAGAACAGGGACCTTATCACGGTCACTTGACTCACCAGAGCCTCACACTGCTGCCTTTCAAGAGTCTGCTTCCCAGGACAGAAGCCTCAGATTCAGGGTTCCTGGGGCAACAGACTCCACGGGGACTAGAGGACATCAACAGACTTCATGTCCCCTAAGATTAGAATGATAACAGGCTTCAAGTAGGTGGGTTTGTCAAGCTGAGTTTCGCTTTGCAAGGCTTCATTATGCTCACTTAACAATCTGTAACTTTGCTACTCAAAAAATTATCACGGAACACATTCAGGACTTACCCTTTGTCGAAGAACGATGTATGCCCTGATCGAGAGAACTTTGTGCCATTGCCATTCAGCACCCCACAGTTAACGTTCCCTGAAATATAGGATTTTCGTGATGCTTGGTCCTTTGCAAAATTCCTGCAAGCTGCTAATTTGGATTCTAAAGCCTATAAAAAAAGGAGGAATGATATGGTTGTCAAAACAGTAGCTGCACATAAAAATCTGCATTTCAAACTATTTCCATTTCAAGCCTCAAAACCTACACATCTCAGTTGATAATGACGGTTAGTTCGGCCACAATGGCCTTGCTAATAAAAAGGGGAATACTTATGTTCTCTTTCTAATGAGCTTAGAATATTTTATTTATTCGTCTTAGCATTACTGAAGGAAACACATATACTCTTCCCCTTACAACTAAGAAAAGCGTGGCACAGGAGGCCCGGCAGATTCCAGGTCTCTTGTCCCTACCCATTGTTGGTTTCTAAGGTGTAGGCTGTTGGTTGCTGTTAGGGGGCAGGGCGCATTTTGGGAGCAAGCACTACTAAAAAACCCAAAAATATCACTTGAGAATTTTTTTTAGTGCAGCCACTTCTTTCTCTAGTTCTTCATTTTTTCTACTGCATGGGAATGGATGAGAGAATTTACAACACTTTACATAAAATTAAAAGCTGTTTTATTTCTCAGAGCACTCTGTAAAATGTTTAACGGATACCCTTTGTCTGCAATTAAATAATCCACCTGCAAATGACACTGGCCCTTCAGCAGTTCCCTCTAAATTGGGCACCCTTGTTTTGTACCTGTCAGCACAACACCTGGCAAGCACCACGCTCTACCAATAAACAGATGACATGAAGAGATCAGGCATTTCTCATCTACTTCCACATGCTCAGACATCACCAACTCCCTCTTTTCCATAAACACTTTGCCCAAATCAAACCCCACCTCCTCCAAAAAGAAAACTACCATCCATGGCAAAAAAATAAATGCAATTCATGTCTATTATCCACTACACTAAAGGACTGGGAATGCACAGCTAAATTAAGTCCACAGGTAACATTTACTTCACTTTGAGAATCCATTCAAACTTCCTCCCCCCCACATTCCAATAAGAGCTATTAAGAAACAGCCACGACAGCTGGGCACAGTGGCTCATCCCTGTAATCCCAGCACTTTCGGAGACCAAGGCAGATCACTTGAGGCCAGGAGTTTGAGACCAGCCTGGCCAACATGGTAAAACCCGGTCTCTACTAAAGAAAAAATTAAAAAACTAGCCAGGTGTGGTGGCATACACCTGTAATCCCAGCAGGAGGCTGAGGCACAAGAATTGCTTGAACCCAGGAAGTACAGGTTGAGCCTTGATAGCGCCACTGCACTCCAGCCTGGGCAACAGAGCGAGACTCTATCTCAAAAAAAGAAACAGCAACAAAAACAAATTTTTTTCTTCTCTTTCTTTCCTATGACAAAAGTACAATGATCTAGCAAAATGACAACAGAAAAAAGAGAGGTAATGACCTTGTAGGACAGACTCTGAATAAGCATAATTTAACAATAATTCAGCAGCTTATTAAAACTACACATACACAGTAGAAATTGAAAGCCACTCATTTCCCATATTCAAGACGTGTTCATTCATTCATTCAAATACATGATTGAGCATCTATCACACAGCAGGCACAAGTTATGTCTGAGACATCAGTGAGGCATCCAAGCACAAGGAAGCAGGTCTTTCCAGGGGAAAAGAGTGGTCTAGAGATTAGGATGTGAAAGACATTCACACCCAGCAGTGGATGAAACCATGGTTGTGATTAAGATCAGAAAATCAAGGACAGAACTCTGAGTAAAACCAATACTGAAAGGGTAAGCAGATGAAGAACCAACAAGATGACAAGAGGAATGCAAAGAAAGTTGGGAGCAGCCATGAAACAGCATCAGAGATGCAGAGAAAAGAGGGCATTAAAAAAAAAAAAAAAGGTCAGTGTTGAATGTTTCAAGTAAAATTAGGACAGAACAGCATCCGTTAGATTGGACAGCACTGAGATCACCAGTGAGCAGTTTTGGTGGCATGAGCAGGGGACAGAGCCCAGGCTAACATCTCTGGGGAGTGCGCATGCAGTCAAAACGCTAACAATAAACGGAGACATGCTTTCAAGAAGCTTTGAAGTATGTGGTATGTACCATGTAAGTACTATATATATTTATATGGATAACACGTAATACAGAAATATTCAAGTATACATGTATAATACATACATGTAATACATAAATGTTATACATAAGTATTAACACATATACAGCAAAAGGCAAGATACAGGAGAAATAAAGATTTGAGGGTTGGAAAAAATGAGATCCAAAGCACAGATGGACAAAATTAGCCACGGGCAGGAATTTGTACTTTCACCACTGGGACAAAAAGGAGGTATGGCTACAAATAGAGGTAATAATAGGAGGGTAATAACAGAAGATGAGAATAGAAATCAAAGGACCTTAAAGCAAATGGCCTTGATTTTCTGTGTGAAGTGGGACTTCCAGTTCAGCAGACAAAGCCATGTAAAGAGGCATAAATGAAATAGTCACAGAAGCAAACGAGGGCTGGTGGACAGCAGCAGACCAAAAGTGTTGGTGACTTTTGGAGGTCATCATTTTGATGACTCTTAGAAAACAGATGGTCGGCTGAATGCGTAAACCATTCAAGGATGCCAAATTAAACTTTCATGCACCACTTCTGAATAAATTAAAATACTAAAGCAAAACAAACAAGGAACAAAGACAGACAACATGGGGTTGAGGAACAGGCAGAACTGACCCGAGAGTAACGTGAGGAGAAATTCAAGAGCGACAACAATGCAGCGGCCCTAGAAGTGCATCAGGGCATCCTGCAGAAAGTATGAATAAGAAGCTGGAAGACATAAGAGCAAAGAAAAGTGCAGGTTTCTTCTACTCAAAAGAAAGAAGGGGAAAATAGAAATGCTAGGAAAAGAAAACAGCATACAGGTCAGCTTGATATGAATATTAAAAAACTCAACATGATTTTGAGTAAATTACAGTTAAACAAAATTCTCAAAACACATTTGTTGAGTGGCACGAATATAAAGACCAGAAGTGAAATTGTTCTGGAACACAAGGCTCACACCAAGGAGAAGGCGCTGAAGTTGAAGTGGCCAAGACTAAGAGCAGAGAGTGATGCCATGAGCCAAATGTTAAAGTCCCACCAAACACAAGACAAGGGAATGACCAGGAAGATGAGAGACAGCAGCAAACACCAGGATGAGGGTGGTAGAACACACAGCAGGCCTCTGACAAAGTATTCTAGACAAGGACAGAGGCATTGTGCTGTTGAAACAGGAATGAGGAACTGGAAGAATGCCCCGGGGGGAGCCTCCGAGCTCAGGATACAGGCTTTTTTGTGGGGGCATCATGGAAGTGCCATCTGGACTAGCCTCTGGCTAGTCACTGGATGCTTTTACTTCTCAGCTTCATTACAGCCTTTACCACAGAAAAGTATCCTTTCTTTCTTCCTTCACTTCAAATCAAGAAATAATTCGGCCAGGCACAGTGGCTCACATCTGTAATCCCAGCACTTTGGGAGGCCAAGGCCGGTGGATCACCTGAGGTCGGGAGCTCAAGACCAGCCTGACCAAGATGGAGACATCCCATCTCTACTAAAAATACAAATTAATTAGCCAGGCATGGTAGCACATGCCTGTAATCCCAGCTAGTTCAGAGGCAGGAGAATCGCTTAAACCTGAGAGGTAGAGGTTGCGGTGAGCCAAGATCTCACCACTGCACTCCAGACTGGGCAAAAAGAGTGAAACTCCACCTCAAAAAAAAAAAAAAAAAAAAAAGAAATAATTCAATACCTTGTCAGTGGAAACACCTAGTGATCAATAATTGAAACTTACCCCCACTTTGCGTAAGAGATCCCCCACGATGTTCAGTGCTGATATCCTAGCAGAAGGAGTTAGTGGACTGGTACCAAAACCATTTGGTATAGCTAGAGAAAAATAAAAGATGAGTGATTACACTTGCATTTCCTTTAGATTTGGGTTTGGCTGTTGAGATTACAAAGTAGTATAACACTCAACACAATATCAATAAACTACTTCCAACTATGGATAAAGTCTAGATACCATAAGCAGGTTTAACCACTCTCCAACTGCTGAACATTTACATTATGTCAAATTTTTCACAATTACAAATAATACTACAAGGACATATACTTTTACACATCTAGACAGGTATTTCTGGAAAAGAGATTCCTAAAAATAGAACTGCTAGTTCAGAGCATATGTCCATTTTTTTCACCTTAATGCTCTCTGAAAAGCCTGTACCAATATCAGCAATCTATGTGGTGGTGCCCTCAATAATATCAGATATTATCTTTTTTTTTTTTGACAATTTGATAGTCATGTTTAGTTTCTATTTCCATAGTAACTAGTCACTTGAATCTCTTCCGAAAATCAGCTGCTTAGTCTTTGTACGTTTTTTTCTGCTGGTTTGCTGGGAGGCCAAGGTAGGAGAATCGCTTGAACCCAGGAGGCAGAAGTTGCAAGTGAGCCAAGATTGTACCACTGAACTCTAGCCTAGGCAACAAGAGCAAAAATCCATCTCAAAAAAAAAAAAAAGAAAAGAAACAAACAAACATTGTAAATAGTAAGATACAATTAGAGACAGACTACTTCAGAAAGATCAGCTCTAAGATCTCACAGATTTCTCTGATCACCTGCTGCTCCTTGCAATTCTGTGCTTTCTTGCAATGAAATTGCAGTGATCTAGTACACAGCAGCTTTTAGGTTAGCCAGTGAAAATTTACGCTATTGGTTCCAGCCTAAAAACATATCTATTATGCAAATATTACTGCCATAGGGTTGCTATATCTCATGCTGTGCCAGAGCAGGCTCCATGTCCGGTTGACTCCCCAAGTCCATGAATGAAAGCTCTAACAGGCTATTAAAAAATACATGCACCACCTGTGGTTGTCACTGCAACTGAGGCTTTTAACTATTTTGATTAGTCCTCAACTAAAGGATTTTCAGATCTGCATAATTCTAATTAGTAACATAATAGCAAAACTTTGTTAGCCCTCAGATGTAATTGTGAAATCTTCAAATACACAAGCAGCTATTCTGAAAAACTGATAATGAGGGCTTCTGATGACTGCTATAATCCATTGCCTGCCCTTTGTCCTCAACAGTAAAGATGACATACTAGTGCAATTAGTAACACCTTACGACCATATAGCACCTTCACATACCTTATCTGATGTCACCTTGTAACAAGACAAAGGCAAGTTGAATTATCTACTCAAGAGCTACTACGCACTTGAAATGCGGTTAATATGAACAAGAAACTGAATTTTATATTTCATTTAGATTAATATAAACCTAGGCCAAGGCGGGTGGATCACGAGGTCAAGAAATTGAGACCATCCTGGCCAACATGGTGAAAGCCCATTACAAAAATTAGCTGGGCATGGTGGCGCGCGCCTGTAGTCCCAGCTACTCAGGAGGCTGAGGCAGGAGAATTGCTTGAACCTGGGAGGCGGAGGTTGCAGTGAGCCGAAATCATGCCACTGCGCTCCAGCCTGGCACCTAGTGACAGAGCGAGACTCTGTCTTAAAAAATAACAATAATATATATGCAGAGAGAGAGAGAGAGAGAGAGAGAGAGGGAGGCGGGCTAGTGACTACTTTATTGAGTAGCACAGACATAGCTCATTGTACTAATTGCCCACATAGCATTTTGAAAGATAGAACCCTATAATGTAAAAAGGGGTGGGATGACAGCTTCTAATATAGGGTGAAAAAAAGCATGGGGGGGACAAGAGTAGCTCAAATATTAACTGTGAGCTGCAAAATCTAAACAAATCTCAATTGAGAGCTTTGGGATTCCACTTTTAAGTTTCTATCTAGTGGCTAAGTGGTTTTTCTCCTTATTTGAATTTTTAAAAACACTCTGGCTGATGGCCACGTGAAACTGCCAATCATCAATTACTCTGAAAGATGCCTTTGAAAATGGCAGCTCCTGAAGCATGTAACAAAATGGGCATGTCCATCCAAGCAGGTACGTGAGTCTGAAAGATAATTTAATGATTCTCTGTACATTCTATGCAGAAAGGCCTCAGGTCTCCCATAAAATGCAAAGTGGCAAAAGGAAAAAATAAGACTGTGTTTAAATATGATCCCCAGATTTGTGTGCGACAAAGAGATGTGCACAGACACACAATTTAAAAAAAACTCCAAATGTTAATGGTGGGTGTCTGTAAGTGATAACATGATTTTTATTTTCTTTTTTGTCTCTGTTTTTAAAATATTCTACCTAAACATACTGCTATTATCAAAAAATCCATTGCTATAATCAAAAAATAAACTTTCCTTAAAAACCTTTAACTTTTAAAAATTTCATCTTAAATGTAGCCATCACTTCACTGTTTCCTATGTACAAGTGGCCCAGGAAGACAATTCCTTCTTCTGTTTCACATAGCACTAGACTTCACCAACTTTTAAACTAAAATTACTCTTTAAACCTTAGCAAACCACTTCAGCAACAAACCCCCTTTAGCTGATAATCTAACACAACGCCTCAAAAACAAAAGACATTACAAACCTTTTGGTGAAGGAAAAGTGTTCTCCGTTCCTTTGCCAACAGGGGTAGCTGGCAAAGAGAGTGACGCTTGGACAGCAGAGTCCATCTTTTCACAGTCTAGAGTTGGAGAGCTAGGAGCCGACTTTCTAGTTACTTCCTGTTGTCTTTTTCGAACTGCTAGTTCTTGCCTTAAATCTGTAAAATATTGCAAACAAGGGAAGGAATACTCACTAGAGGGAGAAAATTTATCAAGAAAAGTGACATCTAAAATGTTATAAAGACTTTCTTTCTAAATTACTATTTCTCAAAAAATAATTTTCTAGTTATTAATAATTTTTATATCTAGGGTAATAAAAATAGCAAAACTATCTAAATGATCTTTCAGAATTTAAAAATGTTATAACCTGAGAGAAGTTACTTACGCTCATATGCAAAAAGAAATAGTGCAGAGTACAGAGTACAATTCACACAAAATAAATATTCTTCACCAACTCATTTGCTTTTATTTTCAAATGTGTAGTTTTGGGATTATTGCAAAACTGACTGTGGATTTTTGTAATTTTAAATGGGTTGGTATTAACTATCACCACTACGAAATATTTGGTTTTAGAAAAGAAGTACTCAGAACAGTTTAAGGTTTTTTCATGCTTTCAAATATCAAGGATTTTTTTTTTCTTTTTTGAGATGGAGTCTTGCTTTGTCGCCCAGGCTGGAGTGCGGCGGCGCAATCTCAGCTCACTGCAACCTCTGCCTCCGGGTGCAAGCAATTCTCCTGGCTCAGCCTCCCCAGTAGCTGGGATTACAGACACCTGCCAGTATGCCCAGCTAAATTTTTTGTATTTTTAGTAGAGACAGGGTTTCACCATGTTGGTCAGGCTGGTCTCAAACTCCTGACCTCAAATGATCTGCCCGCCTCAGCCTCCCAAGGCGCTGGGATTACAGACGTGAGCCACCACACCCAGCCAATATCAAGTTTTTAACCAAGAATTAATGTTTTCTTTTCCAATTATGCAATTAACCTACAGAATATTTGTTTATGTTAACAAAGAAACAAAGTCATCCCCCTTTTGGGTATGTATCCAAAAGAATTCAAAACAGGATCTCAAAGAGGTACATTTGCACACCCATGTTCACAGTGACATCATTCACAATAGTCAAGAGATGGGAGCAACTCAGAGCAACTCGACGTCCACCCACAGATGAACAGATAAAGAAAATGAATATATACAACGGACTATCATTCAGCCTTTAAAAAGAAGGAAATCTTGTCACATGCTACACATGGATAAATGTTGAGGACACTATGTTAAGTGTAATAGGCCAGTCACAAATACTCTATAATTCCCCTTATATGAGGTATCTAAAGTAGTTAAACTCATAGAAAGTAGAACTGCGGTTGCAAGGGGCTAAAAGGAAGGGAAAATGAGCAGTGACTATTCAATAGGCATAGTTTCCGTTTTGCAAGATGAAAAAGTTCTAAAAATCTGTTTACACAACAATTTCACTATACTTAATTAACACTGCTGGACCGTACACTTAAAAATTGTTAAGAAGCCAGGCACAGTGGCTCACACCTGTAACCCCAACATTTTGGGAGACAGAAACAGAAGGATCACTTAAGGCCAAGAGTTCAAGACCAGACTGGCTGACATAGTGAGACCGTGTTGCCACAAAAAAATTTGTTTTAATTAGCCAGATGTAGTAGCACATTACTGTAATCCTAGCTACACAGGAGGCTGAGGTGGGAGGATCACTTAAGCTTAGGAGTTTGAGGCTGCAGTGAGCTATCATCACGCCACTGTAACCCAGCCTGGGCAACAGAGCAAATCCTGTCTCAAAAAAAAAAAACTAGGGTAGCTAAGATGGTCAATGTTATGTGTTTTTTAACCACAATTATAACCAAGTAAGGTATAAATTATGAGAAGTTCTCCAGGTAAATATACCACTTCCTCAGGGGGAAAAAAAGACATAAAGAACTCTCTCTGAAAGATTCAAGAAATATTGGACAAGAAGTTTCACAAGTAGTAATTGAACTACAAATCAGAAAACAAGATAGCAATTTTCAACTTTCAAATGGACTAATATTTAAATTATTTTGTTAATAATTATTAACAAAGCTGTAGAGTATGAAGACACTCAGTTGTTACCACTAAAAATATTTCCTTTGCCTCACCTAAAGAAATCAGCAGATACTAAATATTATGAAGATCTTAGCCACAGCACTACTTATAACAAACTCATTACTAAAACATAACTATATAATAGGTTATCTAACATTTTGAAAATCTGTTTTAAAAGGTTTTTTATTGCCATGGACCGTATTTTCTATGTTAAATTGTGGAAAAGGGGGGAAGATAAAGGGTGCATGTAAGTGTCTGTGTGTCTGTATGGTATGGTCTTTCAAAAAAATAGGCAGATATGTACAGTCATAGGAAACACTGGAAAGAAATTCAACAAACAGTTAGTGGGTTCTCTCCAGATAAAGGATTGGCAGTATTTTTTATTTTCTTCTTTGTGGTATTTTGAATTCTATAATGCATAAGGAAAAAAGGGGGAGAAAAGGAAAATTTTAAAGGAAAGTATATATGAACTATATATATAATACGTATACAGCAGTATGTATACTATTTATGTGTATGTATACTATGCGTACATACTGCTATATACGTATTATATATATAGTTTGTTTATTATTTAGGTAGGAGCAACAAGGAAAAAAACCAAAACAAACGCAACAGCATATGCACAGTGGTAGTGGCTACAGCTTTGGAAATCAGACCAGGGTTTAAACGTCAGCTGACAAGCTATATTACCTGGGACTAAACTCAAACTCTGTTTTCTCATCTCTAAAATAGAGATAAGAATATCTACATCTTAGCATTGACGATAAAGGAATTAAATAAATTAACAGATTAGCAGATAGCACAGTGCTTGAAAAAGTATACAAAAGTATAGCTTTGTCCAGGCACGGTGGCTCAAGCCTGTAACCTCAGCACTTTGGGAGGCCAAGGTGGGCAGATTATTTGAGGTCAGAAATTCGAGACCAGCCTGGCCAACATGGTGAAACCCGGTCTCTACTAAAAATACAAAAGTTAGCCGGGCATGCTGGTGGGCACCTGTAATCCTAGCTACTCGGGAGGCTGAGACAGGAGAATTGCCTGAGCCTGGGAGGTGGAGGCTGCAGTGAGCAGAGATCGTGCCACTGCACTCCAGCCGGGGCAACAGAGCAAGACTTCATCTCAAAAAAAAAAAAAAAAAAAAAAAAAAAAAAATAGTATAGCTTTGAAAAAGTTGACCCTAAGCTGCTTCTAGCATAGGGACAGTAAGGTAAGGGATGACAGTTTTTCCTCAGTATACATGGGGACTGGTTCTAGGACCCCCACCTACACCAAAATTGGCACACAGTCAAGTCCCACACTTGGCCCATAAATATGAAAAGTCAGTCCTCCGTATACAGGGTTTTGAATGCTGTGTATACTGTATTTTCACTCTGTGTTTGGTTGAAAAAAAAGTCAAAGTGGACCCACACAGTTCAAACCCACATTGTTCAAGGGTCAACTATATTCTTTAAGTTATAAATTTTACCTCTTGCTTCATCCTTTAACCTCTGTACAGAGACCAACAAAGATTCCTTTTCATCAAGTTCACTTTCTAAAAACGCATTTCGTTCAATGGCCTGATTTAGCCTCTGTTCAAAGTCTTCCAGTGAAACTATTGTTGCCCTAAAAAGAAAAATTAGAGTACATGAATTAAATAACACGTGCAAACAGACAGTACAAATGAAAGCTGTCATTTATCTCGTGACATTTCCTGACCTAGCCAGGCTGGCCCCATCCAAAGAAAATGATCTTGCCCCTTCCTGACCACTGCTGGCACATAGTGTCTCTATCATTTGGGCAATATATTCAATATATTCTCTTAAATTCCCATCTATTCCGTAATGTTCCCTACAGATAGGCTAGTTGTTACACTATTTATATCTAACACTATATTTTGAACACAATACAAAATTAAGTTCACACATTTTCAGAAAGAAAACTTTTCAACACTTATCATGTATATATATATATAAGAGTTTGTTTAAAACATTAAGTCCCAAGTCAGGGAACTTAAGGCCAACTCACACTGACTTCCTAGAACTAAATCAAAAGGAAAATCCAAACTTTCCACACCTAAGTAAGGAAAGGCCCAGAGGCTACTCTTTGCTTTCTGCAACCAATCAGACATTTGCATAGGGTGTTACTTTGTAACTTCACTTCAGCCTTTGATTGGTTGCCCTCTGCAACCAATTAACCAATTAATTAGACTGATCACGGGCCACTACTTCATTTGCATGGGGTATACACCAAGTGGCCAATGGAAAACCTCTAGAGGGTATCTGGATACCAGAAGATCCCATAACCAGGGCCCGAGCCGCTGCTTGGGCCCGCTCCCACCCTGGGGAGTGTATTTCCATTTTCAATAAATCTCTGCTTTTGTTGCTTCATTCCTTCCTTGCTTTGCTGTGTGTTTTGTCCAATTCTTTGTTCAAAATGCCAGGAACCTGAACAACTTGCAGTCAAGACCCTCCACCACTAACTGTCCCACTCCATTTACCTCCCGCCAACCCTTTTCTTCCTGGACTTCTCAGACACTCATTCAACAAACATTAACATGCACCTATTCTATGTCTCACACTATGTGCAATCTGCTATAGAAATAAAATTCCTTCACCTCAAGTCAGAATTTAAAGCCACATCTAATTTTATCAATTCCTACCAATTGCCAAAATATCCATTTCTTCTTCAACCTTCTGTCCCAACCTCCTCCAATCTTCTGCCTGAATTCTTCATTCATCACCTGGGTTACCCCTAAATGGTCTTTACACCTCCTCCCTACTTCCAATTCCTCATTATTATCTTCTCCAATCAAAATCTGATATTACTCCTTTGTTTAAAAAACAAAATTAATGAGTTCTCCATTGCGTAGAGAGTGACTTTCAAACATAGCCTACTAGGTTGTTCACAGTCTGGCCCCAACCACCTTCCAGGCTCATCTCCTTCAGCCACGCTATCACTATACACATGAATCAATGTCAAATATGGGCCAGGGGCAGTGGCTCATGCCTGTAATCCCAGCACTTTGAGGGGCCGAGGTGGGCAAATCACTTGAGGTCAGGAGTTCGAGACCAGCTTGACCAACATGGCAAAACCCGATCTCTACTAAAAATACAAAAATTAGCCAGGCATAGTGACACACACTTGTAAACCCAGCTACTAGGGAGGCTGAGGCATGAGAATCGCTTGAACCCAGTAGGCAGAGGTTGCAGTGAGCGCAAACGGAGACGCTGCACTCCAGCCTGGGCAACAGGGCAAGACTCCCATCTCGGGAAAAAAAAAAAAAAAAGATCAAATATGAATACCTCAAGCACTTTCCTGCCTCTCTGCCTCTGCACCTGTCTTTTTACCTGGTTAACGTCTACTCTTCCTTACAGACTCAGCAATGGCTTCCCAAATTCCCCCAGCTGCTCTGCCTGCTGCTTCCTCTATGCCCTTGAGCAGCCTGCCCACTTCTTTTTACTGGGCTATTAACACAGTGAATGTACTTATGTGTCACCCCCAAGGGTAGTGACCTGACTAGCTCTGGGTCTGTACGTTTAGCATCACATCAGTCACTTAAGACTCACTGCATAAATAGGAAGAAAATACCAGGAAACAACTATAAAGTAATAGGAATTAAGTTTGGAATGATTAAGAAACAAATAATTACAGATCCATGAAAGTTTGGCAACAGTAATAGCAAGCCACTGTAGGCTGCTCAGAAAATTTGAACTGAAATCAACATTTTAAGAAAATTCATCAGTCAGTATTAAAACACAAGAGAAGAAAAAGGAATAGAAATATAAAGATAGATCAGCTAGAAGATAACTACAGAAACCAGGTACAAGATGTGAGGACCTACAAGAAGTACAGAAGTGTTAAGAACACAGAGGAAAGATGGAGGAAGGCACGAGACAGTTTAGGAAAACAACAACCCAGGCCAGGTGCAGTGGCTCACGCCTGTAATCCCAACACATGGAGAGGCCGAGGCAGGCAGATCACTTGATGTTGGAATTCAAGACCACCCTGGCCAACATGGCAAAACCCCGTCTCTACTAAAAATACAAAAATGGGCCAGGTGTGGTGGTGCACACCTGTAATCACAGCTACTTGGAAGGCTGAGGCACAAGAATTGCTTGAACCTGGGAGGCAGAGGTTTCAGTGAGCCAAGATCATGCTACTTTTTAGGGCAACTATTATTGCCCTAAAAAGAAAAATTAGAGTACATGAATTAAATAAATAACACACTCTATGCCTGCACTCCAGCCTGGGTGACAGAGTAAGACCCTGTCTCAAAAAAAACAAAACCAGTAAGATCAACAATGGCATATGAAGGAAAAAGGAAAAATTGAAGAACAAAGCTGTGAAGGGCATTATCTGGGAGATGAGGATTTGGGGTTCTTTTCCATATGATGAGTTACAGGTGACATGAAAAACCAAAAGGGAATGTTCTGGGACTAAGATCTGGGGGAAAAGCCCAATAAAGATTTTAACCACTAATTATCAACTTCGTTTTTTTCTAACAAAATGCAGTCATTCGTTTACCTTTTGGCTCGCTCCAGGTCGTCATTGGCCTGCTCCAGCTCTCTCACATACTTATGCAATTGCTCCTTAATGGCTCGAGTCTGACTTAAATCATCTTCTAACACTGAGACCTGCTTGTAGCTCTGTGCATACTGATGTTCTAGCTTCTCCTGAAGGCATCAGTATAGGAAAGTACGTGTCATTAATATACGGTCCTCTTTAATAAAGATGTAACTCAAGTTAAAAGGGTAGGGGTAGAACCCAAAGAATTTACTCACACTCTTGTAACAATTATTTTAAAAACAACTAAATCACACATTCATTCTAAGTGCCTAAACTCATGTTAAATTTTCTTGACCATTCTCCTCTCAGAAAGAAACCCGATAACGATCTCTCTGAAAAGAAGTAATATAAAAAAAGCCCTTGCCTCAAAATCCCCAAAATTGTTGGGGAAACCTCTGGGTTTTCAGGCTAAATGCGGCCCAGGGTAAGTACAGAGTTTAGATTCCCTACCCTTTACCTTCCCACCCAGCGTTCCCCAAACCCACCTATTCCCCAAACACTAAACACCCTCAAATATGTGGCTACAGTAGATGTTGAAGGGCGGAGAAAAGGATTAATCCTTTTGCTCCTAAAAACTCCTTTTTTAGAAGGAAAATCTTTAATCCAAACTAAACTCCAAAACTGAAAGAGCTATGAACAATAATGAAATAAATCCCTATTTCCTATAAATATAATTGTAAACATACTTCAGAATGAGGTACTCTGTCAAAACAAATAAGCAGGCAGCTTTTGAAAAGTACAGGAACTACAATATAATACAGCTAGAACAGTATAGCTAGAAAAGTGACAGCTACAAGGTTTCTAAGTGAACTCCTAAACCCTAAACCACCTTTTCCTTTGGTTCCATGAAAGAAAACATTTTATTCAAAAATTCACTTTAAGCCTTTTTTTTAAAAATCACTTTTTATCACCTGCTGCTCTTAAGCACCTGAAAAATATACTTCTGATTTTAATTAAACCCAACACAGACACCAGCTTCTACTGCTGCCATTACCTTTAATGCCTCCACTTCATATTTCAGTCTTTGGTTATCAGCCTGCAAGTCTCTATTCCTTTGTTCAGCCTGTACTAATTGTGCCTCCAACTCTGCTTCTAATTCTCTGCTTCCTTCCTGGAATTCAACTAGCTCATCCCGAGCTTCCTGGAAGCTAATCAGAAACAAAGTGGGAAAGATGAGTTATAGTAAGAACCACAAGAATGGTCCTGGAGATGATTATATAGCAATTCGATAATTTTTGCTTGAATGCTAATGCTCTCATAAAATATATTAAAGACAATCTGTTTTCCATCTCTTACTGTATATATTCAGGGTTCAATGAAAATTACTTACAAGCCCAAAAAGCAGTCACAAGTCAGTGATTACAATATTTATGAAAAGTAAGTCTACATGGTTCAATACCCTTAACTTCTTCCACCACAGAACTCGGATGGGAGAAAAATCCATCTTTACTTTCATTAAAGTAAGAAATTTGGCATTTCCTTCTACTTTATTCAACAGAAATCACAGATATTTTCATGTCACAACAGAATTGCTGCATCTATCTCTAAATATCACTTATTCTCATGGCTATTTCAAAATTAGGTAGTTATTACATTCACTTCTGTATCTTTTTTACTTAATGCATTAATAGAGAAGTACATATTGCTATGCCATAAATTAGATAACTTTTTTCAACATAGTTGATTTCCTTTGTAATTCTATTATTCTATGCATTTAAAAATATTATGCTGAGAAGTCCATAGGCTACCCCAGCCTATTACAACATCTATGACACAGAAAAAGATTAAGAACCCTGCCACAGATACACACCTTTCATATCCACTGGCACAACAGAAAAACTGACTTCGTTGATAATAATGAAAGAGAAGTAAAAGGTTTGATAAGACTTAGTAAACTCTGTTAACCAAAATAGGAAAATGTATCAATATTTAGAAAGATCCCATTTTAAAAAAAGAAATTTGAGGCAAGTTTTGGTGCAAAAGGTTTTTATCTAAAAGTTCTCCCAACCAAATAATTGAAATTGTATAAAACATTCCATGCCCCTGAAGCTTCTCCCCCTCCCTCAAAGCTTTGCTGGCTCTAGACACTGATCATGCTTGCCTGAGAACGTAATCTGTTCTACGGAGCCCTAGACAGCTTATCAGAATCTCCAAATGACCAAAATGATGAGGCAGAATCAGTGCACGCAAAGCAGGCCAAAGATGGCCTAAAAAGCATAAAGAAAGCAAATGATCAGAAGAAATCATAAATGACCGTTTTCCTACTATTTTAATAATTTGAACAATATAAAGACTTACAGCACGTTTATACTACTTAAATACAAAAAATGTGGTGACTATTTCTAGAGTCTCAATCCTAGAATCATAAATCTGCAATTCTAAATTTAGCTTTATGTTAAAAAGAAAAATATACAAACAAGACATGGTGCATTTCAAATGCCCTCCCCTACTTTTAGTGTGCTTTTCAACATTACCTTTGCTTATACTTCAAGGAAAGTTCCTTCCAATAAGCAGTTTCCTCCTTTAAACTTGAAAAATCTGGTATATCTTCACCATCCATGATCAAGAAAGCCTGTGAAACATTAAAGACAAACAAATTAGAGAACAGAGAAATCTAAGCAAAAGCATAAAATCTGGGACAACAATAAATTGCAGCATTGTGGAGGGAGTAAAACATGAGAGATTCTAGTGGTCAACTCTCTTGTAACTCAGGCATGTAAGCCACTTCACTGCTCCTCTCAGGGACCACCAATATTGTGAATGAGGTCTTAACAAAGGTTCTTTCATGCAAAGCAACATGAGGCACTTTCGGTTGCAGCACAGGTGCTGGGTGACTTGGCTAACAGAATCATGATGCACACAGAGTTCCAGCAGTTGGTTTAAAGCCAAGTGGTCTTCTGGGAATCAGGAGACAGAAACAAGCTGATTGTCAGAGATGCTGCTACCACATGCATGCCCTTCCCAGGTGTACAATTGCTTCAAAACAGCTGCATGGAACATTGTATGCCAGGTGACCCTACTAGAAAATAAGGCACCACGTTCCCAATAATTTACTAAGATTAAATTTCTAAAAACTTCCTGTTAATTATCTTTGAAGTCCAAAGCTTCCTTCCAAAAGGCCACTAATCTCCAACTTCAGTGATCTCTCTTTCATCTTGGTTCTTCTCCCACGGCATTCAGAGAGGGGTAAAAGCGATTTAATGAACTTACGTTTGGACTAGCTACCTAAAACTCCCAACCGATCATCAGGTTCACTCTAGAGTCATGCCTACAGTTTCCTAGCACTCCCCTTCCCAAGCATCCCACTTTATATTACAGCACTACTGTTCAAAACTATCTTAACACACCATGCTACTTCAGGTCTGGAAAACCCACTCCAGGTTTTCTCTACCTGGAATTGCTCCCCTAACTAGAAAAACTTCTATTCATCCTTAAAACCTAGTTGTCATCTTTTCTAGAGAGGTTTTCTTGCCCTCAATTGGACAGCATTAAAACCTCCTGCACTCTTTGCTACCTCTATACCCTACACACGCTTTCACTGATATAATTACCACAGAGCAATGCATTTGCTTATACCTTTTGTGTCACCTGTTAGGTTGACTTATTTAGTTCCGTCTCAGCCCAATGCCTGCACAATAGTGGATACTCTATGATGTTTACTGAATTAAAGCATAATTGATTCAATCTAATCCATACTAGGCAGCAAGAAATTAAGACCAGCTTTAAAAGTAAATTAATAAAACCTGGAGATGCAGAGAACTTGGAGTTTATCTAGCACAAGCCACTCAGGAAGGTTTAGCAAACTTAAAAGTTAAATCTCTCCACATCATCAAACATGGAACACAGCAGAAGTTCAATAAATATTTGAATTAAGGTTGGGCATGGTGGCTCATGCCTGTAATCCCAACACATTGGGAGGCTGAGGCAAGAGGACTGCTTAAGCCCAGAAGCAGTGAGGCTGCAATAAGCCATGATTTTGAGGCTGCAGTGAGTCACAAGTGTGCTACTGCACTCCAGCTTGGGCAACACAGCAAGACCCTATCTCTAAAATAAATATCTGAACTGATTTATAATCATCCTTTCATTATTCCCTCTTTACTTTCAAAGTACCACTTTATTAACATCTGAATTCCTACTTCAGGAATGGAGTAAGCAAAAAGATGTGTGGGTAGTTTACTTCTACCTCACAATGTACCACCATATATTAAATCAGTATTAGAAAACCTATCATCAGTTAGACACAATTATTAATCTGATACACAGGCAGCCACATTCAGTCACTTACATAGGCTCAGTACAGGCTCCGCATCAAAGAAAAGGGAGCTGATGGGATTTATTGGGAAGAACCCTGGAGATCACCACTGCACACTAGCTACCTCAAATCATCATTGTCCGACCCTGAAATATAAATGGACAACCAAGAGCCACCCGACAAATAAGAAAACCCAGTAGCATGAATAGGAAAATTTTAGGACCTACTGAACTGACAGGAAACAGACAACTGAGGAAATGAGAAGATTTTTTTCTTATACAAGAACTCAGGAGGTACTAGACAAAGGCTTAAAAAGTCAGGAGGGCTACCTCCTACACACTTCCTGAGACAAGCACAAAAGAAGGGAGAAAACCATGACCTGGACAGCACAGGATGCAGGAAACAGGGGCTGAAACCTAGGACTGCAATAAAGACAAGTCCCAGGATGAAGCCTAGTCCATTGGGCCCATAGAATGCTTCATACAGATGGATGACACCAAGAAAAATCAAGGATCCCACAGAACAGAGAGCATACAGCATGAGTGAGAGGCTAGATATGTTTGAGGTTGTGGTGACGACAAGTTACTCTACTATCAATAAGAAAAAGAGCAATTTAAAAGCTCAGGAGAAAAGCAGCAGAAGAAAGTCCTGATCCATATACAAAACATTTTGTAAGTTAATGATTTCAAGTCTAAAATTTATTGATTTTACCTTATGTGAAGCAGCTGGGATAAGTTCCATAACTTTGTAGCCATCAATGAACTTCCTGTTTTTGGTCTTAACTTTGCCCTAGGTCCCATGTGTTGACCTCTTGGAAGCTCCCAGGATTTGGTGAACAAAAAACTGTATTCCCTCTGGTTTTGTAGCCTTTGATAATACCTCTCAGCCTTGGTCTTCCCAAAGTGATGATTTCTTGCCTTGTTAACCTACAATCATTTGGCAGCCATCTCAGTTCCTTAAGTATTTTGTCATGCTTTATATTGTCCCTAGATATACCAATCTGCCTTTCTGGGGCCAAGTGGCTAGTGCCACTTCTGTACTGAACATTTTACTCGCTGGTTGGATAATTTTCCTTTTGAGTTTTCAGTTTTCTTTGTTGCTGTGCAGCATGTGATGATATTGCCAATAGTGTGGCCCATGAACGGATGCTGTTACAGAAGTTTCTAATGACTGTTAGATGCCTTCCTTAGTATCTAACATTTGAAGGTGTTTGAAATGTGAAGCCAATTCTTCTACAAAAAGAGTTACAATTGTTTTGAACCTACAAATGTTATTCAGGAGTACACTTCAAAACATTTCTGTGTGGGGGTATTTTTTGCTGGTTTTGACCCATTTACATAGTATCAGAGGACCTACCAGCAGTTAATGCTTTGAAGAGCGTTTAGTCAAGTAGAGATCCCTGCGGAATAGCATCGTTTACACCTCTAGATATAGTGCGAGTATCCATTTGTCTCTGATTTTTGGTTCTTGAACAGGGACATACTCTTAATACAACCACCAACTTTCCCATGAGTGCCCCCTCCTGATAACTCAGGTTTTAAACAGCCTTTTGCATGAAACTTCTTGAGAATCCAGTTCTAGCCCTTGCATCCTCTTTGTTCAATTATTTACATTCAGTGTCAAATAATTCTAGCAAAATTATTTTACTTCACACACATTATTTTCTTTTTTTTTTTTTTTAGAGACAGAGTCTCACTCTGTTGCCCAGGCTGGAGTGCAGTGGCACAATCTCAGTTCACTGCAACCTCCGACTCCCAGGTTCAAGCAATGCTCCTGCCTCAGCCTCCCAAGTAGCTGTGATTAGAGGTGCCCACCACCACACCTGACTAATTTTCGTATTTTTGGTAGAGACAGGTTTTCATCACGTTGGCCAGGCTGGTCTCAAACTCCTGACCTCATGATCCACCCGCCTCGGCCTCCCAAAGTGCTAGGATTACAGGCATGAGCCACCATGCCCGGCCACATTCTTTATTTTCTTGCTAAATCTTATGTGAATTGAGTGTTGACCGCAACTTTTCTAATCGACAGGCTACTTTCACAACATGCTTATATTATACAACAGTATTATGTCAGATATCATTTACCAAAAGGACGATCATCTCTTCCAGATCAAACCAATTTAAAACATTTAACCAAGAATAAGTCATAGGAGCAGCACAGCAAAGTGGTTAAGAGCCCAGACCCTGAAGCCAAACTGCCCAGGTCTGAAGTCAGACCTGGAAGTTCTGACTCTACTGATGCATCTATTCACTACTTGGGTGACCTTGGGCAAGTTACTTAATTATTCGGTGCCCAGTTTCCTCAGCTGTAAAATGGGGATAATCATTAAAATGAAGTTATGAAGTGAGTTAATATTTGTAAAGTACTTAGGACAGAACGCGGCACATGGTAAAAACATACATGTTTGCTGGGTGTGGTGGCTCACACCTGTAATCCTAGCACTTTGGGAGGCTAAGGCAGGTGGATCACAAGGTCAAGAGTTCAAGACCAGCCTGGCTGGCCAAGATGGTGAAACCCTGTCTCTACTAAAAATACAAAAAATTAGCCAGACGTGGTGGTGGGAGGCTATAATCCCAGGTGCTCAGGAGGCTGAGGCAGAGAACTCCTTGAACCTGGGAGGCGGAGGTTGCAGTAAGCCGAGTCTGCACCACTTCACTCTAGCCTGGGCGACAGAGCAAGCAAGACTCCATCTCAAAAAGAAAAAAAAGAAAAACATGTTCATCAAACTATTAAAAACTGGTAGTTCAACAGCAGATCTTCCAAGTATGACCACAAAGTAAACAGGCTTCAAAATTTAAAACATCAAATGATTCTTTAAAATTAATCATTTCAGGAAGCTATATATTCCAGTGATACCACCATTGCTGAAAAACATTTCCAAAACTACTTTTTTGGAATAACCTTTATGAGCCACACTAAAAAAAAAGCAGGCTGGGCTCAGTGGCTCATGCCTATAATCCCAGTACTTTGGAAGGCTGAGGCAGGCGGATCGCTTGAGGTCAGGAGTTTGAGACCAGCCTGGCCAACATGTTGAAACCTCATCTGTACTGAAAATACAAAAAAAAAAAAAAAATAGCCAGGTGTGGTGGCGAGCACCTGTAATCCCAGGTACTCAGAAGGCTGAGGCAGGAGAATCACTTGAACCTGGGAGAAGGAGGTTGCAGTGGGCCTAGATCGCACCACTGTACTCCATCTCACACGACAGAGCAAGACTTCGTCTCGAATAAAAGAAAAAAAAAAAGAACAAAGCAAAAACTTCTTACTTTGTGGTCACACCTCATTTTTATTGCTTCCTAACTGGTATTATCCAGCTCTATCACCCTACTTTTTACCTATGAGATTTATCCTTTTCAAAAATCAGATTCTGGCCAGGCATAGTGGCTCAGGCATATAATACCAGCACTTTGGGAGGCTGAGATGGGAATGTCACTTGAGTCTAGGAGTTCAATACCAGTCTGGACAACATGCCGAAACTCCATCTCTAACAAAAATGAGCTGGGCATGGTGGCATGCACCTGTGGTCTCAGTTACTCGTAAGAGTGAGGTGGGAGAATCACTTGAGTCCAGAGAGTTGAGGCTGCAGTAAGTCGTAGTCACGCCACTGTACTCCAGGTGACAAAATGAGACCCTGTCTCCAAAAAAGTAAAAATAAAAATCGGATTCTTTACAAATAACAAAATTTGCTACCACTGCAGCTACTCAAAAGACAGTTTCAGGGACTGTTTTACAGTCTGTTCAGTTTGCTTCAAGTTACATTGGGAGAATGTGTTCACTGTGTTATTTGAAACTATGTAACTAGAGATATTCAGGCTATAGAAAGTTAGCCAATATAGAAAACATATTGCTAAAACAATTTTCTAATGGTACATTCACAATTTTCTGAAACTAGAATGAAAATGGATAATTATGTATTATTCTCTCCTGCCCCCACCCCATCTTTAATACCAGGTCTCAATACCAACAGTCTCAAAAGGCACGACAATTTTTACAAAAAGCATTACCATACCATGTATGACCTTCAGAAATCTAGCAACAATCAACTCATTTGGGTTTAAAACAGCCTGTCCAAAATGCCTTTTACTTACAAGGAATTACTCTTTGTACAATGGTAAGATAATCTATTTTAAATAATACTGTTTCTTGTTAACAGTTGTAAAATGGACTAGTGAGGTTGGAAGAGTTCTTTCAAAACTGTTGGTAATACACTCCTTTTTACTGAAATTCTACTACTGTCAAAGGTGACATTTACAGAATTTTTAACTCTTCAAAGTTGATCATAAACATGGTCTCTCTTTGATTTTATTAGACTATTTTTTCTACTTTATGGAGTGTTCAGAAACTTACGTCAGAAGCAATTTTAAGCTTTAGTAACCAAATTTATCTAGGCATGGTTTACAATGAAAATAAGTTGTTTTGCAGATGTCATGAAAGCAAGATCTAAGTTTTACTAGGTTCCTACTTATTTTAAGCTCCTTATCCAACTTCGATTTATTTAATTTTAAAAATCCAGCCTGGGCGACAGAGCAAGACTCCATCTCCCAAAAAAAAAAAAAAAAAAAAAAAAAAAAATCAAAAGAACTACAGCTTCAGAAGATTTAGCAACTTCTATCTGGATCAAGTCAAACTCTAACCAGGGCTGGCCAAAGATTTTCTTTGTTCCTCATACACTCTAATTTTAAATAACAATAATCTTAATAATTCAGAAGATGTATCTCTTAGTTTACTTCTCTTCAGCCCATAACTTAACGCTTCATGGTGCCCATCAGCTTCACGATTTAGCAAAGTCATTACCCTATCTTTTAAGCACATTAAGTGCAACACAATTTATCAGACAAAATAATTAACCAGCAACTCCTGAACAAGCTTCACAGTAAGATTTTTCTGATGACTGAGCAGCAGTTTTTATCCTAGGTGAGTTTGCTCAAAAATAATCGAATAAGTAATCTACCAGCTTCTGGCATATCTTTGGCAAATCACATTTTCTGCCTTGTTTTGTAGCTGAGAAGGATATAAAAATCCCACGAAAAGAAACCAGAACTCCGAGCCTAGAAACGTAAATTACGATCCACGCTAAGCAACTCACCAGTTGGTTGTATAAATTAATTACCCCCATCCCAGCTGAATGTCTCTATCCAAATGGCGATAACATAATCAGTTGCAACCACCAGGTGATGCAGTTCAAAAGAAATAGGAAGAGTGTTCTGAAACGTGTAAAGGCGCTACGTAAATAGAAGGTAATAATCAGTAGTGATTTCAACTCTCACTTCCTCTGCAAAACTTAAAAGGGTCATCTCGTGGGTTACAGCAAGAAAAGAGGCGAGCACAAGTAACCCGAGCCCGTAGGTGACACTTTCCCGACTCCAAGTGGAGAATGATTAGCAGTTTGGGGCGGAAGTCAGGGGAATGCCAATCCGAGCCCAACGTGGGCTGCTCGCGCTCTCGCCCCCCATGGGAAAGAAGCTCTGAGATTAAAATCCAACCCGGCTCCAAGCCACCCTCGCAACTGAAGGAATTTCGGGGAGAGGGGAGGAGGAGGAGGGCTGGGCGCGCCGCTGCACCTCCGACTGGGCCACTCCTTGCGCCGCCAGCGCCCCGGCTCACGGTGCCACGTCCTGGCCTCCGTCACCGCCATCCCTCACCCCACCCCGGAACGGGACACATCCTCCAGAGACCGTAGGGCTCGTTCTCTTGCAGGCGTCCCTGGGATGCCAACGTAGGAACAGGGAAGGAAGAGGACAGTTAGAGCGGTTGGAACAGTTGTCCCCGGCTACTCGCCCCAGAACCCCGCCGCGTCTGCCCCGGCGGAGCCTCAGACACGGCCCCGGGCCGGGCGGGCTCCCCAAGGGCAGGCCTCGGCGCCGCCAGCCCGGCGCAGCCCCTTAGGGAGCGGCCCCGCGCTGCAGGCTCACCTCCAATGTGTCAAAAGCACATGTTCGCCGCCGCTCGACCGACGACTCCGCTACGCTGGCCTGGCCAGGCCCGCCCAGCCGCTCAGCTCGGCTCCCCTCCGCAGCCCCGAGCTCCACTCCGCGCACCTCCGCGCCCGGCTCCTCCCCGACACGTCAGGAGCTGCCTGGGTGTCCGAGGCCATTCTGTGACGCACGGAGGCGGGGCTCGGAGCATGCGCGGTAGCGCGCTAGTGGGCAGAGCGGGGCGGGGCAGAGCTGGTGTCACCCGGGGCGGGCCAGAGCCCGACGCGCTGACGTCAAATTGAAGGCGTCCTTTTGCGCAGGCGCCTCTAGGCCTCACGACCGGCTGCTTTCGGCTTCTGCCGTTCCCTGAAACTGCTATTCGGGAGAGTGGCACCAAGACAGATGGGATCCTGTCTTTAGTTTTACGGCCACCAAGGCCTTTCAAGTGTCCATGTGTCAGTGTTCCCGTTTATAAAATGAATCTCGGCTCATAGTTCACCTCCGATTCCATTCCGCCTGCCGAACACCCAATGGAACACCAGGAGCATTCTGTTCCCTCTTCACCACGCTCACAAAGCTGTGTTGTTTTTACAGCACTTCCACTGCTTAAATTTTATACTTGTTTGTGTCTTCCTCCTGGAGAATTTTAAGTTTTATGAGAGCTAGAACCTCTTATGCCTTGCTCATCCCAACAAATAACTTGATTCTAGGCAAAGTGGACGCTCAAATATTTGATGAATAAATGAATGGATTCGTTGGCACCAAGAGGATTTCATATTTGCCCGTTTATATATTGTATGTATCTGAGCATATATTCATATACACGGATATATATTCACATATATATCCGTGTATTTGTGTGACTTTCTCCCCCCCCCAGGGCCCCCAAGAAATGGAGACCTACATATCTTTTATGTATATAAAATATATAAAAGGTATCTCTTACAATCCATCTTGCATTATTAATGTTTATGTGTTTTAGTATGTAAACACGTACGTGTGTGTGTGTGTGTGTATACGTGTGTATTCCCTAGCGGACTTGGAAGCAGGCTGGAGGAGATACTAGAGCAAAACAAAAAGAGGGATACGCAACTTACATAGAGAGTGGAAACTTAAAGGAAGAGTTACATTTTTAAAACAAGTTTAAGAACTTTTGCTGTATAATGTACAATGTAATCTTTTCTATTTTAGAGACAGGGTCTACTATGTTACCCAGGCTGGTCAAGAACTCCTGACTTCAGCTCACACCTGTAATAACAGCACTTTGAGAGGCCGAGGCAGGTGAATCACTTAAAGCCAGGAGTTCGAGACCAGACTGGCCAACATGAAGAAACCCCGCCTCTACTAAAAGTACAAAAATTAGCTGGGCATGGTGGCAGGCACCTGTAATCCCAACCACTCAGGAGGCTGAGGCAGGAGAATTGCTTGAACTCAGGAGGCAGAGGTTGCAGTGAGCCGAGATCACACCACTAGACTCCTGCCTGGGTGACAGAGTGAGACTCTATCTAAAACAAACAAACAACCAAAAACAAAACAAAAAAGAACTCCTGACTTCAGGCAATCTTCCCACCACCACAGCCTCCCAAAGTCCTGGGATTACAGGCGCCAGCCTCCATGCTGGACCCAATGTAATCCTTCCTAATTTCAGTGCTTTTAGAATTGAATTTGTGGGTGTGAACACAAAAATAATGTGTAAGACATGCCTCAAGGTGAAAGCAAAGTAAGTCTAGGAGGCCTAGTTTATGCTTTTGAGGGAGATGGTGATAAACATGAACAATGCAAGATGGATTGTAAGAGGTATCCAAATCAATAAAGATTAGAGAATGGATTAATGGGGTTTGTGGGAAGGGTAAATATTATATATGCCGATTATGAATACTATAAATAATATGCATATTATGAAAAAACTATGCATGGATTTCAATTTTTTTTTTTTTTTTTTGCACAAGTCCAAGCATGGTGGCTCATATCTGTAATCCCAGCACTTTGGGAGGCTCAGGTGATCAGATCATTTGAGCCCAGGAGTTCAATACCAGCCTGAGCAACATAGTGAGACACCGGTCTCTAAAAAAATAAAATAAATGTTGGCACCAAAATAAATGTGTTCTAACTTGCTATAATATTTCTGAACAGGATCTAGCTTGAAGCACCAAGATAGATAAGAAATCAGTTTGAAAAGAGTCCCTATAAGAACATGTATTCTGGCCGGGCGCGGTGGCTCAA